CGGAGCAGGGAGCCCGATGCGGGACTCGATCCCGGGGGCTCCAGGATCATGACCTGAGCCGAAGGCAGTCGCTCAACCGACTGAGCCACCCAGGCGCCCTGCTCTGGGAATTAAAAAAAAAAAACTACGTAATAGGAAAAATTTGGTGCTTTGCTCCATGTGGCTGTATTTCATGTGCTCAAGAGCCACTCGTGGCCGGTGGCTGGCTCTGTATCGGACCGGAATGTTCTGTTGCACGGGGCAGCCCCACAGCGCGTGTCCACCAGCGTTCCCAGGGAGGGGACACTGAGGCCCGGGCTACGCGAGGGCCCACAGAGGGGGAGCTTGCCTGTGACCATGTGTGTTGTGTGGCCTGTGTCCCGCCTTAGTACCGACGCAGGTCAAAGACCGGGGAACCAGGCAGGGTGGAGAGCTTCTCGACATGCCTTTGGGCGGCTTGCAACCCTTGCTGTCCTGTGCTGCCCTCCCCGGGCCTGTGCTGTTTTAGGAAGCAGGGGCGCGGGGACCTGGGCCACCTCCCTGACTGTTGGATTTCACAGGGTTGCGCGGCCAGGGAGGAGGTTTGGGGAGGCGCGACGCAGCATCTGGCTCTGAGAGCGGCGTGGGAGCCAGCCTGCTCTGTGATTCCATCATGGGGTCGCCGCCCTTTGCAGGAGTGGAGGCCGATACCCAGGCAGGGCCTCAGGACGCAGGTGCCAGGCTTTTTCAGTGATCCATCCCCTCCAGTGGCGTGCTTTGCTGAGGGGATAAGCTGTGTCCTCTCCCTGCCCCTCCCTGACCCGTGTGCCGTGTCCCGTCCCCAGACTCCCTAGGCCTCTCCGGGAGGGCGGAGGACACGGAGGCCCAGCGGGAACAGCTCTACCAGCAGAGCCGAGCCTACGTCACCATGAATCAGCGGCTGCAGCAGGCGGGTGCTGGGCTGAAGCAGAAGTGTGAGGAGCTGTGGCGAGCTGGTGAGGAGCTGGAACGCGACGTCGGCCAGGTGAAGCAAGTGGCGCTGCCGGGAGCCATGGCTGCCTCCTTGGGCTGAGCGGTCCGCCTGCTTGCCTGCCCTGGGCAGGGCGCCCCCCGGCTCCCCGTGACACCTGACCTGGCACAGCTTAGGCCCCCGGGTCCCATGGTCCGGGCGTGCCCGGTACCCAGAGAGCCCCCGGGACACAGCCGGGCACGGGCGCCTCTCTGGGGGTCAGGCCTGGGACCTGGTGTGGATGTTGCTCACCCCGGGGCCGTGAATCCCAGGCTGGACTTCACGTGGGGTCCCCAGCACCCGAGGGCCAGGCCGTCCACCCTCCTCTCCTTCCCTCTGGGGACCCTGCTTCCCCGCATCGTCCCCAATAGACTGAGCTGGTGGGACCCACTCTGCTGCCTCTGTCCATCTCTGCCTGAACTGCAGGGCCCCTGGAATTCCCGAGGAGGCCGGGGGTTCTGTTCCCTCCACCACAGTGGCTGTGGCTGTGAGAGGAGCTTTGCCCAGCAGGGCCCAGATGTGAGATGGGGCCTCTGGCGGGTGCCGCCCCTGAGGACCCCGAGCACCCTGACCTAAGGTGTGGGCGCTCCCGCAGGGCAGGTTCACGGTCAGGGTGCGGGGCCGGCCTGGGAGCTGTGGGACTGCATCACACGGGGCTCCTGGCCGGGCTCCGTGAGGACAAGCTGGCCCGTCTCCCACACGAGCCCTTGTTGGCTGCCTCCATCCTGGCAAGCTTCACCTGTGGGTGGGTGTGGGGGCCGTGGAACAGAAGCAGATCTTGAAAAGGGCTTTTCACCCTAGAAGACAGACTTTCGGAAGACCAGGGTAACAGTGGCTGCAAGAGGCATCACAGAAGCCAGGCTGCTTGGGGGTATCCCCACTGAGCCCCTCAGGTGCAATCTGCTCGGTACCTGGTCCCCTGCACAGTGCCTTTGTGAGCTGCCCCTCTCCTGGGGTCCCTGGAAGCTCTGGGGTGGCATGGTGGGGCATCCGGAGGTGTTTCTCTTTCCCTGAAGAAGGGGAGTCTGCTTAAGCCTGAGAGACCCCTAAAACTGGGAACCAGAAAGGAGGCCTGGGGGCACAGGTGTACAGAAAGCCCAGGCTTGGCTCCCGAGATGGCAGTGGACGCCAAGACCGCCCTGTCCAGGCTGGGCCCCCTCGCGCATCAGCACCCTTCCACAGCTAACAGCTCGCCCGGTGCGAGGCGCTTCACCCCTCCCTGCTTGGCCCTGGTCTCCGGGCGCTGCCTGACTCTGGGGTGCTGTCTGCTCTCCGGAGCCCCCCCAGGGGTCAGGCGGGGGCGCGCTTGCTGACCTCCCTGTGCTGCCGTCCCGGGGCCAGGCCACACTCCAGCTCTGCCTCCAGGGACCTGGCCGAGGAGGATTTCTGAAAGGTGTCCTAGTGTGTCGGCTCCTGGCGGAGGCCAGGCCCCTCCAGCCCCACCCCACCCGCACCCGCTTGGAAAGAGCCACAGGCAGCGGGGCGCGGTTCGACAGCTGGGTTTATTAAAGGTGCGCGTAAGACGCCTGGTTCCGCGGGTTCCTTCGGCCAGACGATGGCTGTGTGGTTAGTGGGGGCAGCTGGGGCTGTATTTACAGAGGTCCTGTAGTGCTGCAGAGACGAGCAGAGATGCAGGGGACAGACCCAGTCGGCCAGGCTCGGGCCGGGGGCGTGTGGCCGCCAGCCGGGTGACGGGTGGGGGGCAGCAGGGGTGAGGTAATGCCACGCCAGCGGGTAGCCCCAAATTCAGCACCCAGCTAGTGGTGGTGTCCGTCCGGCCCGGGGTCCAAAGTCCCAGGCCTGGGCTCCCAGGCGTCCCCGTCGGGCTTGCCCCAGGAGGGCTCCAGAGGCGGAGGGGCCCTTCACGGTTCCCTTGGCAGGTGGCTTGGTTGGTCCTTCGGGTCCTGAGACCTCAGGCGTCCAGCTCCCGACTCAGGTTGATTGTCGGTGGCCGCCACCTGCCGCCGCCTGCGCAGGCTGGATGATGAGGTGTGGCTGTGCCCCCACCAGGGGCTGGGAAAGGCAAAAGTGGCTGCCGGGCGTGGACGGGACATGAGCCCCCGGGGTGCTGCCGAGGTGGAGCTGCCCTCCTGCCCTGCCCGTGGAGACGATATGCCCGCGGCCAGATGGGCGGAGGCAGCAGCGAGGGAGGGTCCGGAAGCACAGGTCTCTCCCCCGGGCGTGGTGGTCTCTCCACTCGCCCAAGAGGTAGCTCTGGGAGTTCTCCCCACGGCCCACGTGGGGGAAACTGAGGCACAGAGCGGCGGAAGCACTGCCCAGGGTCTCACAGTGCACGAAGCTGTGGGCCCCATGGCCGGATGAGCTGGTGGTGGGTCCGCTGCTGCTTCCCTCCCCCCCAGGCCGTCGCGGGAGCACCTGCCCCATGGAGATGCAAGCACGATGTCTGGCAGTCCCCAAATCCAGAAAGGAGCTTGGAGGAGCCCCAGTCCCAGCCCTCCAGGCTACAGTGGGGACCGGGACTGGCGGTTTCTGAGAAGAGTCTGAGACACTCTGGTGTGTCCTCAGGGGCGGGCTGTGGCCGTTCGCAGCTGGCTCAGCCACCGTCACCGCCTCTGCTGCTGGCCACCCTGCCTCCTGCCCGTGGGCCCTCTCCGGCCGGGCCCCGGCTCCCGTCACACGGGATGGGGCGTTGGTGATGCAACATGACAGCAGCAGGGTGTCCGTGGGGTCTGGGATCAGCACGGCTCACGAGGGTTTCCCGTGGGGACGGTCAGCCACAGGAAACACTTCGGGTAATGGGGCGGGACGGTGGTGTCTGCGGGTGGGCCTCGCCATGCGCGCCTCCTCCAGAGAGGGACTTAGGTGGCCGCGTCCTGTCTGCCGGAGCATTGGCTCGGGCGCGGCGGCTGTCAGGGCAGACCCGCTTGCCGAGAGCAGCTGCTCCCCAGAGCCTCCGTGCGCAGGAAAGAGGTCGTTGGCTCTTTCTGCAAGGAGGTGCCCTTGGAGCTGACCCCGAACACGTGCGCGCACGGCCCCTGAGCGGCCTGGCGGCGGGAGGGGAAGAAGTGAGGCCTCGGGGTTCGCTGTCCCTCCGTCTGTCCGAGTCTAGCACCCAGTGGTCAGCATCCCCCGCGCCCACTGCTGCAGTGCTGTCCCAAGGCGGAGATGGTGCGCCTGGCGCAGAGCCCGGGGAGCCCAGCGCTGTGTGTGGGGCGAAGGAGAAGGGAATCGAAAAGCCGGCGGCCGCCTTCGGGTACATCCCTCCACACGCTTCCTCCCACAGGTGTGCTCGCAGACCCTGGCGTCGTCCCAGCACCCGCACAACCCCCGGAGGGTCGCCCTGCGACGCGCCTGGACCTCCGTCCCACTGTACCGTGCCCAGCTCCGGGGCCCCCCTTCCCCCGGCCAGGGCTCTGTCTGCGCCTGCCGCTGACGCACCAGCCTGTCCCTGTTCGTCCAGGCTGCTCCGCCTCCCTAGGCGGCGCTGTCTGGGGCGGGGGCTTTGAGTCGGGCTCAGCCGCTCCCTACCCCCACACTCCCCAGCTGGGGCTGAGAAGGCAAACAAACCCACAAAGCCATCATTAACCAATTACCGGGCCTCCAAAATTATAGGCTTTGTCCCCGTGTAGGCTGGCCCCCAGCTGGCAGGCGCTTGCTTAATGGGGCCACCCTCCCCAGCCCTGTCCCCCACCTCGGGCGGGCTGTCACCTTCCTGTGGCTCCTGACATGGGAGGGGCTTGCTGAGGCTTGGGCCCAGCGGAGCTCGGGGCCCTGGAGCGTGCTGCAGAGGGTGGTCTCTGCGTGGGGGCCAGGCTGGGGCCAGACGGCCTCGCTGTGCGCACTCCAGGCTGGGACTGGAGGTCCAGCCGGCAGCCCTGTTCCCTCCAGAGCCCCCACAGCACGGAAGCAAGCGTCTATGCGTGAGATGTGAGGCCAGTTCAGGCTGCAGTGGGGCTCCAAGGGCGCGGGCTCTGGTGGGTAGATGGACCGTGGAACCACCCTCCAGGCAGCCAGACCAGCCCTTGGCCTGGAAAGGATGTTCTAGAAGGCGGGCCCTGGCCACTATTCCAGGAGGCTGGCGGGGGCAGCGGTGGGGGCTTTCTCTGCAGCCAAGTCAGTGGTGGCCGCCACCATGGGGCTGGGCACATAGTTGAAGGGGGAGACACGGGCTGAGCGGCTGGGGGAGCCATGCCGGCTGGCAGGAAAGCCCCCTGCAGCCACCCCCAGGCCCTCATGGACAAAGGGAGCCGAGGTGGGCGCCTTGGTGGGACCGGGCCCGTCCACATCGCTGCCAAGGAGGGCAGTGGGGCCGCTGACCGGGGCCTGGGGGGGGGCCCTGCTTTCCAGGCTCGGAGACGTGCTGGAGTTGGTCTTAGCGGCAGCAAAGTCCTCCGTCTGGACCACGGCATCGCTGGTCTTGCGCTGTGGGGGGCCGCTGGGGCCGTCCTCAGACGGGGCGCCCATCAGTGGCAGGGCAGTGGCGGGCAGCGTGCTCCGCAGGATGTGTGGAACGTCCTCGTCCCGGATGCGACGCCACGTGGTGCCCGGCGCCGCCACCCTTGGCAGTGGCCGGGCCTCCCCATCGCTGCTGCGTCGGGCAGCGTCGCTGGTGGGCCCGGGGGCAGCCGCGTCGGGCCTGCGGGCCACGCTGATGTGCGGCAGGGAGGCGTAGCGCTTGACCGTCTCGGGCCGTGCGGCCGGGGTGCGGACAGGCAGGCGGGACGGACCCTCGGAGCTGGGGCGCCGGGCCGGCCGCTCGCTGGGACTGGGCCTGGCCACGGGGGCTCGCTGGGGGACCGGAACCTGCCGGGGGGTTGCCCGCAGCTCGTCGCAGCGAGAGGAGCACAGGAAGACAGCAGGCAGCGCGGGTCGACTGCGGCGGGGTGAGCCGCCCTGGGAGGCGGGGGGCGCGGCCTCGGGGGCGGACAGTTCCGATCGGCGGCGGCGCAGCAGGCCCGGGGACTCCTTGATGAAGGTCAGCTGCCGCCGGAAACCCGAGCGGTCGGAGGACTCGCTGCCGCTGGAGCGGGCAGAGGCCACGCGCACCAGGCCCAGGCGGCCCCCTCGGGCGCCAGGGCTTCCTTCAGCTGCTGCCCGGCCCCGGGGGCCTGGCTCTGGGGCTGCCCTGGCCAGGGGTGGCGGCCCCCGCCTGGCTGGCCTCTGCATGAAGGGGATCCGCACAGGCGACTTCTGTGTCTTGTGCTGCTTGGACAGCAAGGCCCGTGTGGGTGTTTGGGGCACCAGAGATGCCCTGGGGCCGGGGAGGGGCCCTGCGGCCTGGGCGCCCGGGGGCGGCCTCCTCGTAGGGGGCTGGGAGGCTGGAGAGGCCGGGGAGGAGCCGGATGAGGGGGCCTTGGCCAGGCGGGCGGGCGGTGTGGCGCTCCTCTGAGGAGGGCTCAGCGCCGCCAGCTCCGAGATCTTGCCTGGCCGGTGCAGGCTTCGAGACCGCTGCTGCCCGGGGCTGGGGGTTTTGGCGGGGGCTGCTGGCTGCGCAGGACCCGGGGGTGCCATCTTCCTTGGTGCCATGCAGGTGCCAGCGTGGCCTCTGGGCGGGGCCCGGGGGGCCGGGCTGGGCACGTAGATCACGGTCCGTCCCCGGAGCACGGCCGGCACCCTGCACGCGGTCTTCTGAGCTCCGCGCAGCTTCTCGGGGCCCCTGGTGCTGTGCTGGGCCAGGCCCGAGTCCCGTTTCTCCGGCCTCGCGGTGCTGCCCGCCGGGCCCCCCGCCTGCAGCCGCCGTCCCTTCCTGTGCAGGGGGGGCTGCAGGGTGGAGCTCCCGGACAGCCCGGACCCGGACAGGATCGAGTCAGACCCAGACGAGGCCTCGTGGGTGGCCGCCGCCGCTGCCTGGTGCAGCCACGTGACAATGGAGTTGGCGCCCTCCTGGATGGCACGCCACTCGACGCTGTCAAGGTCTGAGGCATGGTCTGAGCTCGCCGCCTCGTCCCCGCGCTCCCGGAGCGCCTCTGCTGGCCGCTTGTCCGGCTGGGCAGCCTGGGGCTTGCGGCGCCGTGGGCCTGATGCCTGCAGCCGGCGCCTGGGCACCGCGGAGCCAACGCAGC